TGTGTCTGTGTGTGTGTGTGTGTGTGTGTGTGTGTGTGTGTGTGTGTGTGTGTGTGTGAGCCAGACGAACGTCGCTAGCTCGCAGCTACTAATCGTGTACTAGTTTGGCAGTATGTTGCGGTGACTTATGGAAGTGACCCGCTAATGATGCTACGCTAGCTAACGAGTCAGCGTTTGCTAACTTTAGCAGCTGATGCTCTGTCTTCGTTTTAGTGATGAATGAGGAACACCACACGCTATTTCTCTCTCTCTCTCTCTCTATATGGGATATGACATTAGAATTTTCTTCCTCTTCACACTGTGTCACATTTCTGCTTCTGTCTCAGATGCATGCAGTTTTTTTTCCATTCCCCACTTGAAAACTTCTTTCTGGGTCTTTTTAAAAAACATTTTTTTTTTCCTTAGGACAATTCTTTTTTTTCGCCTTTCGCTTCAGATGTGGAACACAAGAAGAAGCCTGGCGACTGCACTTTTATTTTTACCTCCACGTCACCCGTACCGCCGCCACTCTGACGAGCGAAAATAAAACAAACTCTCGCTTGTTTTTTTTTTTTTTTTTTTTTTTTTTTGGTGGGGTTTTTTTAAGGCCCTTAAAAGTGTCGCCCGCACACTTTGACAGCATGGAGGAGGAAGACGAGTTATATTCTCGTTTGCCGCCCCCCCTTGTCGCACTACGCCTAAAATTAAATCCTGTGATGCGAGCAGGGATATCACAGGAAACACGTACATTGGGACAACGTGGTAAACAAATAAATCAACCGATGTTTCCGTGAAGCTGTCTCCTTGTGACTCATCTTGACAGTTTTGGGGGGGAAAGACACTAAACTTTGTGGATGATGGACATGGTGCATACGGATGAATCAATGGCTTGATTGTATTCCAAGTGAGGGTAAACAATTGGATGTTTGTGGCTCAATGCCAAGTATTATACAATATTAGAAACTGTCAACAATTGTTGAGATTTGATCACAAGGTGACTCATGGTTTCGTGCAGTCGGTTTCGCTCTTAAATTCGAAATAACCGCAAACAATTGTATGTTTGTGATCTTGAGGACTTTTATCGTTTATCATCCAAGTAACTGTAAACAATTCCAATTTTTTTTTTTTTTTGAAATCACAAGCCACCTCGGTGCTAAGTATCAACGTCGTGGTTCATTATCCAAAGCAGTTCTTGTGCAGTCTGTGCCAAATGAGGACGCTAAAACGCTTCCCAACTGTCCGCTTGTGATGAGGAGGAGCGTCAGCGTTTTGAATAAGTCGGAGGATCTTGAATTGATCATGGTGAAAATGTTCAATATGTTGATGAAAAATATGGAAGGTTATTCAATAACCTGGAAAAACGTTGAAAGATATCGAATGATGTGGAATGATATGGAATGATATTTAATGATATGCGATTAGGTGAAATGATGACATATTGGTGAAAAATGCAATATGTTGCTTAAAAAAAAAAAGTGGGACTTTTGGTATGTGGGAATTGTTGCAATGTTGAATATCATTCCCAAGGTGAATAAAATGAGGTGAACGTTTTCCAGGCCGAATGGGAATGAATGGTTGAATGTGACATTGGAAATAAATAAAAATGTATTTACGGGTGAATTATTTCACATTCAAAGGCAAAGTGACTAATAGGGTTCGGGTTAAGGAAAATCCAACTCGACACTGTGCTGGTTTGGCACATTATGCGCATCGCAAAGAAAGAAAGTTGTTTGTTCACGATTGTCTGTCATTGCGTTCATTCAAATGCGATGGATCCAATGCACCATGTACGGTATTGGAAATCGGTATCGGCGAGTACGCTAGAGTGAATACTCGGACTGGTACTGGCTTGAAAACAGTGGTATCGGCCCGCGTAGCTACTTGTGTCGCATGCTAACCAGCGCCAGTCGGCGTTTGTTCTTTTGGTCGGCGCTGTTGCGAGTGACGAGAAATCTGTCACTTGACAGGCCGGCGGTCACCTCGCGACAGAGCGACGCCGCTCCCAGCGTGTGGCAGCTTTCATCTTTTGGCGCACTTTCATCACCTGGCGCTTCCCATGTGGGCCCAGAAACGGGGGAATCTGGTGGCGGGTGTCGCAAAAAAAAAAAAAAAACAAAAAAAAAACTGGGGCATCAAAAGTCCCAAAGGCGGTGAGCTGCAACTTTTCGCGCATAATCAGACGAGAGCAAAGATGGTGCAATGACAAAGAAAAGTCGTCGCAGAGACGGAGAACAAACCGGAATAATAAATGTGACTGTGCCGCCGCTGATAAAATAATAATAAAATGAAGTTGATTACGCAGCTGAGCAGTCAGCGTTCTGGGGCGAGTGAGCGAGTGAGCGAGGGAGCGAGTCAGGGTTGCAGACAGAAGTTGAGCTTCCCTCTCGCTCCTCCGCTGCACATTTGGCGAATCCTGTCAGGAAGCGGCGGTGAGGTGACGCGCGGCGACCATGCTTTTTCTTCAGGCCATCTTGAAGAGACGGCTCCTGCTGCAGAAAGGTGAAACTCCTCAATTCATCCTCACCGTCAACTCTTTTTTTTTTTTTTTTTTTTTTTTTTAAGTTTCCATCCTCCAATGGCGTCTGTATGTTTTCCTGGCAACGAGAACTTGCCGCAAAATTCATCATTTCTCCCCAGAAGTGATTATTCATTCACTATTCAATTTGAGTCTCTGTTCACTGTTTTGGACTTTTTTTTTTTTTTCTGATTGGGATTTCCATGGCGACCTGCCATCACGTGTTTTTAGTGTTCAGGATGATGTTCGCTTGAGGTTTTTTTTTTCCCCCCCATGTCTATTCTCATGTTTTATTCAAGCTAATAAATCAACTATTTGATTTGGATTTCTTTGCGGTCGTGACAGATTGAGCGACTCCTTGCGTCGGTGTTTGTCGGTTTGTGCGCGAGAGTTGGGCTGCCGTCGGCCCCTTCTGATGATTTATTTATGGATTTGGGGATCTCCGGCTTTGAAGTCAAGCTTGGAGACGGCAAGCGAAGGGAGGGAAACGGGGACAAAGCGCCTCCTTTTCCGGCCGCGTTGGGACCACTCGTGATTACGACTCGGGTGAACCTGCCCCCTCCCCGCACACTGTGGGTGTTAGTCATGTCTATCATTTATATTGATAAGTTGATTGACGGGTGTCAGTGTGAAGCTGAAGATGGGCTCATGCCCAACAACAACGACAAAGACATGCACACAATTTGAGCTCTGGTAGCTTAGTGTCAAAACCAAATGATCTCAGAGATGTTAACGATGAGACAAAATCTTTCAGCAGGCATTTGAAAATGTTTACTGACTTTTTTTGTGGGTCTCCTCATGCTAGACATGCCTGCCAAGTTTCATGTTACTCAGTGAAATTGGCTTTGGTAGCTGAATATTTGATCAAATCCAATTGGGCGAAAACTGAACCAAAGGATCCAAAAGTGGCCAGTTTGAACCAAAAAGACTTTTTTTTGGTTTTCAGGCATGGCTTCTTGCGATTTTTTTTTTTTTTTTTTTAAGCGGGGGGTCTACCTATAATATTGATTGCAGGCTAATTTAGCATTTGCTGGCTAATTCCATATGGTTTATTGTCTGTGCTGGTCAAGTTTTCTGGCTAATTAAATATTTGGTGGCTCATCACATCGACTTGACTATAAATATAGTGGTGGAGTTTTTTGGGTCTAATTTCACATTTGTTTATCACGTTCGCAAGCTGAATTTTCATGAATGCTACCCAATTTCAATGTTCATCAACTTTCTGGTGTATTTGAAGTTTCCTACTGATTTCTCATGATTACTGCTTAATTTTCTGGTCGGTTTTACTGGAAAATTTCTCATTTTTGCTGTGAACCTCCCCCCCCCCCCTCACCTGCCCCCTCCCCGCACACTGTGGGTGTTAGTCATGTCTATCATTTATATTGATAAGTTGATTGACGGGTGTCAGTGTGAAGCTGAAGATGGGCTCATGCCCAACAACAACGACAAAGACATGCACACAATTTGAGCTCTGGTAGCTTAGTGTCAAAACCAAATGATCTCAGAGATGTTAACGATGAGACAAAATCTTTCAGCAGGCATTTGAAAATGTTTACTGACTTTTTTTGTGGGTCTCCTCATGCTAGACATGCCTGCCAAGTTTCATGTTACTCAGTGAAATTGGCTTTGGTAGCTGAATATTTGATCAAATCCAATTGGGCGAAAACTGAACCAAAGGATCCAAAAGTGGCCAGTTTGAACCAAAAAGACTTTTTTTTGGTTTTCAGGCATGGCTTCTTGCGATTTTTTTTTTTTTTTTTTTAAGCGGGGGGTCTACCTATAATATTGATTGCAGGCTAATTTAGCATTTGCTGGCTAATTCCATATGGTTTATTGTCTGTGCTGGTCAAGTTTTCTGGCTAATTAAATATTTGGTGGCTCATCACATTGACTTGACTATAAATATAGTGGTGGAGTTTTTTGGGTCTAATTTCACATTTGTTTATCACGTTCGCAAGCTGAATTTTCATGAATGCTACCCAATTTCAATGTTCATCAACTTTCTGGTGTATTTGAAGTTTCCTACTGATTTCTCATGATTACTGCTTAATTTTCTGGTCGGTTTTACTGGAAAATTTCTCATTTTTGCTGGCTAAATTCACATTTCTTGATCATGTATGCTGGTCATCTATGGTGGTAGATTTTACGTTTATTAGTCACTTTTTTTCATGAATAATCATGGTTACTGGATAATGTCTTGCGTTTTCTGACTATGTTTGACGAAATTCACATTTACTTGCTAATTTCACAGTCATTTATCATGTTTGCCGTCTAATGTCACAAATGTTGGCTCACCCTTTGTTGGCAAATTTCAAGTGTTGACTGGCTAATTTCTCATGCTTCCTGGCTAATTTCACATCAAAGCAGGAATCCTGTTGATTTTTAAGTGTTTCGGAAACCGAAGCGGGGCTTTCCGTCACACCCGCCCGACCTTTTGTTGTTACCCGACTGCATCCCGCCCCTTTCGGAGCCTTCGCCGCCTTCCTCACACAAATGCAGATGCGCCTCCTTTGATTTTGTCACGAGAGATTAATTAGCGCGTTAGGAAGAGGTCTATTTATACCGGTAGCCACCAGAGGGAAACAAGATGGAGGCTGAGGCAGACAGGAGTTAAAGGGAGACAATAAGAATTAATGATGCAGAAGTTCATTTTTTGAATGAATGTCCGTACAGCTTGTTACGACGTCACTTCTGTTTGTTTACAGCTTTTGACTTTGTGACTTTGTTTTCTTGATTGCGCTTACCCCCTGCCTCCCTACGTTTGAATTGTTGGCTAAATCTGGATTTACCAATGAATCTGACGCTAATTAAATATGTTGTCTGGCTAATTTCAAATTTTTGCGTGTTCAAGTAATTTTTTTTTTTTTTTTTTTTGATGGGTAATCTCATTTGTTTTTGGGCTAGTTTCACGTTTTTGCTGGCTAAATCTACGTTTGCTAGTTAAGCATATTTGCTGCGTAATTAATGTTTGCCCCACGACCCTTGTGAGGATAAAGCGGATCAGAAAATGAATGAATGAATGAATGAATGAATGAATTAATGTTTGATGGCTAAAGTTAAAATGTTGCTGGCTAATATATAACATTTTCTGTGTACTTCCACATGGTGACGTCTAATTTCTAATGTCTGCTGGCTAATTATACATTTGCAGACTACTTTCAAATATTTGCTGGCTAATTTTACGTTTACTGCTGATGTCACATGGCTATTGTCCGTTGCCACATTTTTGCTGTCCGATGTCATGTTTGCTGGCTGATTGCATAATCAATTGGCTAATTTCATGTGTGGATAAATGGTTCAGAAAATAGATGGATGGATGTTTTGTTGATTACACATTGGCTTGTTCAAATCACATTTGTTGTATCTTGTCATGTGTTTCAGAGCTAATTTCACGTGGTACTTTTGCTCATTCCATGTTTTTTGGCTAAAGATAAGTTTGTTGCCTAATGCCACATGTTGTGAGGCTATTTTCTCATTTACTGGCTTTTGTTGTAGTGGCTGGGCAATTTCTCGAGTTCGATGGCTAAATTTGCTGATTTGCTGTCTACTTTGAATGCTTGCTTGCTAATTTGCTGGCTAATTGCACAAGTTTGTTTTACTAATTACATGGCGCTGGGCACATACAGTGCGCTGTCTCGTGTCACATGTCAGCAGGCTAATTTCTCACATTTGCTAACTAAAGTTACATTTGATGCTGAGTGTCACATGTTTGCCGGCTAATTTCATGTTTGCTAGCTAATTCCACATTTTCTGGCTAACTTCAAGCATTCTTTTGGCTAATTTAACGTTTGCTAGCTAAAGTTACGTTTGATGCTGAGTGTCACATGTTTGCCGGCTAATTTCATGTTTGCTAGCTAATTCCACATTTTCTGGCTAACTTCAAGCATTCTTTTGGCTAATTTAACGTTTGCTAGCTAAAGTTACGTTTGATGCTGAGTGTCACATGTTTGCCGGCTAATTTCATGTTTCACATTTTCTTTCCACAGAGCATCTTCATCTTTATTAGTCAGGTGTGCATGCCCCCCCAACAGGAGGGCGGCTGTCATTTGCCACTTCAGAGTGCTTAGCCGTAATCCTCCGAGTGCGGATTCATTTGCACTCGAATCCTTAAGAAGGAGGAAGAGGGAGATAAGACCACCACCTCGGACCACCATATGTGTGTCTGTATACACGGAACGTGTGTTTGTGTACGTGTCTGTGCGTTTGTGTACGAGTGCGCTGACATGAGTCATTCTCGAGCGCTTAATTTCACTACATCCTCCTCTGCTTCCCTCTGGGCTTTAAATGCTTGCGTGCGTTTACGTTTGTTGGCTAATTTCTCACATTTGCTGGTTCAATTCTCAAGTTTACTGGCCTGGTTCACACATTTGCTGACAAATTTTATTCTGTTTACTGGCTTATTTCATGCCGCTCAAAGTCAGATGTTTGTTGGCTAATGTCACCTTTACTACGTTTGTTGGAAAATGTCATGTTTCTGGCTGATTTCACATTTGTCGTCAAATGTTTCCAAGTTCATTTCCTGAATCTTGTGGACTAACTTTTCAAGTTTGCTGGCTAACGTCACAAATTCGCTGGCTAATTTCACATTTGTCGGCTAATTTTACGCTTTCTGGCTAATTTTGCATGTTTCATCTGTCTTGTTGGCTATTGGGGAACGTATGAAGGAAGCGGGAAAAGCAGCTGCGGGCGCGTTTGTGTGAGTCAGACTGGATGCCAGCCAAGTGATGCTGATGCAAAGATGCAGAATGAACTTTTTATTTTTTATTTATTTTTTTAGGAAGACAAAAGTAGGTCAGGCAGAGGCGGGCGGGCGAGCGAGCTCTCCAAACAACTGACCAACCGAGAGAGAGAGAGAGAGAGAGAGGCTTATTACTGACAACACACACATGACTGTGTTTGTACAGGAAATGCTTTCAAATATGGCACCATGCTTGTATGTGAAAACTTGCTGCTATATCAATGCCACTACTAGAAGTAATTCAAG